ATTACAGGTATGAAGTGTTGGCAATTAATGCTGTCGTCCCCTATGGGAATACTATATTGGAACACGGAACTCATTAATGCAAAAAAAAAACAGAAAATTTATCATGTTGTTAATATTTGATCAATAATATGTGGTTATTTCTGATTTGACACTGTTTCCTCATTTTAAATTGAATACATTATTTCTTGATATCTTTTTGTGCAGCATTCTTTTAGGCTCATGTCTTTTTTTTTTAAATTTTTTGCAGTTTCAGCTACAATATAAGCTGGAAGTTTATGAACTAGGTACCAGTGCAAGAAAATTATTCCTTTTTGAAGCGTATTTTTGAAGTACATTACTAGAAAAAAAACTTCTTCTTAGGAAGTCACGCCATGAAAAGTAGACACAAATATCATAAACTTCTTACGTTTAAACTTAGAATACATGCTAATCTTTCTGCTTTAGTAGACTCACTATATTCCCGTTTTTTAAATGTTGCTCTCAACAATGAATCAAGGGTATCTGACATAGTCTGTTTAAAAATATTCAAAGTGTCTCAGATTTCTCTAATGGACAAAGTGTGACAATAAAGATCCTCATCTTTATTGATTTATTAAAATTTCAAAAAAAACTTATAACATTTGGTTTTGTAATTTTGATAAAGGATTAAATCCTGCATCTTTCCAAAAAAACATCAGTCTTCTATCATGTTCCTGCACGGAGATACATGCAAAACACAAAATATCGCAAAACTTTTGGCTCATCCGGTATTCTAACGTGAGGGGCAAAATTTTAAGGCACTTTTTGTTTTTCGGTTTCTCCATCAAAGACCGCTTTTAATGAACATCCAAATAGTGATTTCGATAGCTCTCAGAACCAGCTACGAATCTATTCCATCAAAAACATCAACGGTCAACCGGTTCATTTTTTATGACAGAAACTATTTTTGTCCAGCGGACAAAATTTTAAGGTACTTTTTGTATTTGATCGATTTTGGTTTTGTCGAAGCACATAAAATGTTTCAAAAATATATCATTTGATCCAGAATTGGACGGGCTACATTTTCGTATACAAAGTTTTGAAAAACTATTGGCTATAATAATTAAATATTAATAATAATTAATTATTATTAATTACCAGTTATAGATTAATCTTCTCATCATTTTTGATTTTGAAGTACATCAGAAGAAAGAGTATTAAAAACTAAACAAAACCGTGTATTTTTTGTTTTACAACGACCGGACTTAACGGAATTCCTTAAGGGCTCTTTTAGAATTTAATTAATATTGTATTAATAATTAAGAAAATTAAGTGTTAATAGGAAGTTTCAAAACTCTGAAAAACAGTCTATTTTGTAGAGCAGAGTTTGTTCTATTGAATGAGATCTAGCGCCTTTTTTTTGCGGCGCAATCTTCAAGTTGGACAACGTTTCTAATATTTATCAGTAATTCCAGCGATAATTTTTAGCTATTTTTCGCCTTGTTATGGCTAAACTATTTTCAACGCTCTACATCTCATGAATAGCAGATTGTAAAAAAAGGGTACTGGGTCTTATTTAACAGAACAAACTCTGCTCTACAAAATAGACTGTTTTTCAGAGTTTTTAAACTTCCCATTAACACTTAATTTTCTTAATTATTAATACAATATTAATTAAATTCTAAAAGAGCCCTTAAGGAATTCCGTTAAGTCCGGTCGTTGTAAAACAAAAAATACACGGTTTTGTTTATTTTTTAATACTCTTTCTTCTGATGTACTTCAAAATCAAAAATGATGAGAAGATTAATCTATAACTGGTAATTAATAATAATTAATTATTATTAATATTCAATTATTATAGCCAATAGTTTTTCAAAACTTTGTATACGAAAATGTAGCCCGTTCAATTCTGGATCTAATGATATATTTTTGAAACATTTTATGTGCTTCGACAAAACCAAAATCGATCAAATACAAAAAGCACCTTAAAATTTTGTCCGCTGGACAAAAATAGTTTCTGTCATAAAAAATGAACCGGTTGACCGTTGATGTTTTTGATGGAATAGATTTGTAGCTGGTTTGAGGGGCTATCGAAATCACTATTTGGATGATCATTAAAACCGGTCTTTGATGGAGAAACCGAAAAACAAAAAGTGCCTTAAAATTTTGCCCCTCACGTTAGCTTAAATCTTGATAATCATTGGGATGTTGCAAAAAAGTAAAGTATTCATTATGATTAATGAAATAAAAATAGCATATCGATGTGAAGAATTCTTTATGATAATAAGTTATATATTGAAAGGTATAGGATTCATCAATACATAGAGAAAAGAAGAGTGATTTCATCCTGCTTATCGTCATCTGCACTAATTTTGAGTAAACTTAAAATTATGTTTTGATATATTTTAGTTACAAGTCAGATTAAATGATTCATTGCAACGGTATCAATCTTTTCTAATGAACATTATTGGTGCTGATTTATTCCAACTGCATTAAGTGAAAATAAAAAAGCATGTATTGTTAAAAAGTATAGATAGGCTCAATAAAACGGTAACACAATTCGTCATACCAGATTACGGAAGTAACACTGGGTGAAAAACGATGGGTGTTTTCTAGCGATAAAAACAGCTCGTAAAATGGTATAACGGATTACGACGAAATAATGTCAAAATTAATGCAGTAATTTGTTGTTTGTTATATAGCCGCTTCAGACCAGATAAGACGCCGTTTCCGACGATCGGAATGATCGACCTGGAATGCTATCTATCATTGTTTTCTAATAATGTGTGCTTTTTTTATTTTCATTATTTATTTTTCACAAATAACAACGATAAATAAATAAATATCCCGAACAAACATCACTTGAAAGTTTTTTCACATTATTTTTTCAATTATTAAAAATCACTTAATTGTTTTCCTCAAAGAAACCTAGTGTATGATATTTTTAATTTCTACGAACTTGGCTTTATCGAAGAAAAATTAAATTATCCATACGAATCAGATGAACATCACTATACAGAAAGGTAAGAGTATTTGAATAATAATAAAAAATAATTAGACAAATGTTATGTACTTGATTATTAACAGTATCAGTTTACTTATGTTTCCAAACAAAATTCTCTGTATTTATTATATATGGCTCGAATGCATCCTTTCACATCAATTAGATAAATTCCTGTATAAAATTGAAGGCTTTTTTGTGTTTTGATTCCGTACTGATTACTTGACCACTTTTTTCATGAACAAATGTTATGTAAAATAATGATGGTCTCGTTTTATCCTTCAAAAAAAATTCTAAACTCACTTGCAAAAAAAAAGAATTTGTTTTCGACACCTTCAATAATAAACATCAAGCATTATAATCATATAACACTTTGACGAATAGGATTCCATATATGAATCAATTTTCGAAAGTCATTTAATATGTTTTTCACTGATGCAAACTGATCTAAACATACAAAAGCAATCAATTATAAAACTCATTGATGATAAAAGAAAACTCATCAGCAAGAATATGTTCTTTATGTAACAGAGTCACTTGACTCGTTGATACTATTAACTAGTAATCGAATATCGATCTACTTGTCGAACAAAAGAAAAAGAAAAACAAAAAAGAAACTTCTCGTATATTAAATATAAATATCTACCTTTCCACTATGATTTAAAACAGGCATGATCAGTCATTTTTATTGGTTTTGGAACTGTTGTTGTTGCATGAAATTCAATTAGCAAATAATGATCATTGGTCAATATACATTTGATAGATAAAAATGAACGTTTCTTAGGAAATCATTTTTATTTTTAAAATAAACAATATCGATTTTTTTTTAGACAAGTACCATCTTATTTAGAGCAAGCATTCTTTATTCGATTTGTTACCCGATCTCTGGCACAATAAAAATAATATTTGTTATTTACATACGACGAAAATACAATATCGAACATTGATGATGATTTAGTCTATTTTGTAAAGTATCATAGCCAAGTATAATTTCATCAATCCGATTTTTTTTTACCTAGTTGTCAAATTGATTGAAGCGAAGTACCATAATTAGTAAGTACAACTTCAAAACCATCTATTAGATAAGAGCAGTACATATACATTTTCTTATATATCTAATAATGATTTAATTTGGTGTTTTTACATGAAATAAATCTTTAGTTAATAATATTTTAACACTTCTTTGTTCCTATCTTCAAATTAAAAAAAGATGGTTATCTAAGATGGTGAAAAAAAATTTAACAACAACGTATTTTTTTGATTTCTCTATAAGGTCAAGCATATAGTTCGAATTCAGATGCTGGCTTTAATATCCAATGAAGTATTCTATTGAATGTATCTTATACTAAATGAACTATAATGGTAACGTTTGTAAAAAAAATCGGCAACGGTAGTTTTTAGGTCGCAGCAGGCTATTTTTTTTAACAATACCAATAGAGAGAGTATAAAATGAGAGATCACCGCATTTTCTACGATCTTCTCTTAAAAAGTTAAAAGCATCACAGAAACCGTAAAATAGTGGAATTCATCAAAAAAGGTCCTTTTTTCGATTTATGTGACGCTTTTAACTTTCTAAGGGAAGATCGGAGAGGATGCAATGATTCCTCATTTGGTGCTGTCTAAAATAGCATTATTAAAAAAAGTTTTCTGGGATCTGAAAACTACCGTGTTCAGTGTTTTTAGATATCTTACCGTCACAATTCATTTCGTATACGATAGATAAGTAGAAAACTTCATTGGTTATTAAAATCACTATCTGAACTTGAGCTAATTGCTTAAGATTATAGAACAATAAAAGATACGTTGGTGTTAACATTTTTTTCATCGCATTATGTAAAACAAATTATCAACGACTACTAACGATCTCTATCGTACATTTTAACTTACCCAATCGTATATTAGAAAGGCGATCTATTTATTTATTTTGTTTATTTATCATGTCTGTTTTTTGTTCCATGATAATGTTTATGATAGTAATTATGAGAGATGTTCATTTCATTTTAGATTTTATTTGAAACTTTTTCTCGTTTTGTACGTATCTATGGCGTTCAAAGGAACATGGCATCGTGGCGACGGTGGTGGTGGTGGTGCTTCTGGCGATCGTCGTTATACATCATCAACAGATTCATTTTCATCATTTGTTATACCTCCACAAGGTGTACCTGGAAATCAAATGGGTTTAGCACCAATGAATTATCAAACAAATCCTAATGCTATGTATTCGGTAATGAATCCAGTAAGAAAGAAAAATAAATAAAAATGCGTTTTATTAATATTTATTTGTGGTTTTTAAGGGTTCATCAATGATGCCATCGGCTAATTATTCATCAGCAACAAAAAGTTTACCATATACCGGTACTGTATCAAATATGTATCGAGATTTTGGTGTTATTGATAATGAAATTTCATTCAAATTAAAGTAAAAAATATTCTTCTTTCTGATATAATTTATTTTATAAGTTCAAATTTTAGTACGGTATCTGGTCCATTACCACGTGTTGGTGATCGCGTTGTTTGTCAAATGAAACCAGCTGAAGGTTTTGGTACTCAAACGCCTTATAAATATTATGGATTTGAGGTTCGATCAGTTCAAACACCGACTGATACGCGACGACCTTGTAATAAATTAAATTAAATCTTTTTCATTTGCAATTCGTATTTTTTTATTTAGCACGACCAACAGGAGGACCACAACAAATGTCACGTAATACTGATTCATATATGAATCGTAACCAAAATCGAAATCAACCATCAAATGTTAAACGACCATTACCAAATAATAATAATAATAACATTGATCATCATCATCAGTATAATAATAATAATCAAAATCGTGATCGACATGGACCAATGAATAATAGTTCAATTAATGAACGACGTCGTTCAAGTCCAGTAAGACGTAGTCGTTCACGTACAAATAAAGTGATGACACCTAAACGTAGTTCTCGGGCACCACCACCAAAATATACTTGTACATTACCAAAAGCATCACTTGATTGGTAAAATTATTTTTTCCTTTATTTATAATAAATAAATTTCATGAAACAAAAAGAAATTTAATTTATTTTTAGTTCGGAATTAAATCTTACTCAAATACGTTCACGTTATACACGTTTACATATTCCATCGGATTTTTATCATGCATCATATTCATGGCATCAAGCAATACCACTTGATCATCCATTAAAATTTATAACACCGTGTTCATTTCATGTATTTAATAAAAATGTCCCACGTTTATTTAATGATAATGTATCAATTATTGATCCACCTGATGTAAATTATACATGGAATGTTCGAGTATGTTTTTTATTAAATTTAACGAGTACCAATGAAACTTAAATTGATACTAATTTTGAAATCTATATGTCAATATTATCATAAAGTTGAATTTTATAATTTCAAAAATAGCTAAGAAATCAGGAATTTACTGTTTTGAAGTCAAAAGAAAAAATATCGAAAATTTCAACTAATAAGACATTCTGTATCTTTAGTATAAGAAGTATGAGCAGGGCTCTCGATTAGGGGCTTTATCCCAAATATCCTACTTTCCTCTGATTCTTTATAGCTTTGGACAGAAACTGAATTTTGAAATAGTAGTTGTTTTTCTCTAGCAAAAAAATGTTGTTGCAAGGTGCATAGAACTGAGAAATAGACGACCTATGGTAGATCGGATCACAATAGGTTTCGTTTTGCCCTCGTTCGGTCATCGCTTTCTGTCAAATTTCCAGTCCTCCTATTACTTTTCTTTTTTCGACCAACAGCCTTGTGATCGTAAGAGTACGTGACTGAGTGCAATGAATAGTTGCTGTTACCGTTATAGAAAAAAATACTAATATCAGCGAAATGGCCTTTCTTGTATCTTATGTCTGACATTTGCCTTTTTCTGATGACAGTTTTCAATTATACATAGAAATCAAATTACTAATTTCTGATAGATCAAAGATTTAGTAACAATTTGAAATTTGTGATGGTCTCAAACAAAAATTTTCTAAAATGATTTCTTTAAGGTAATGTTAATGTCATCACCCGATATTCAAACATTAATATCTCGTTCATGTTTAATTAATAATGAAAATGGAAAAACATTAACAATTAATCCAGATGATTTAGAACATCCAACAAAATTAATTAAATTTCTTGTTGGTGTTCGTTATCAAAATGAATATTTTCCATTAGGTGGTCCATGGTCTCCATCACTTGATGGTTCAAATCCTGAAAATGATCCTCAAGTATTAATACGTACAGCTATTCGTTGTGTTCAAGCACAAACTGGCATTGATTTAAGCAAATGTATTCAATGGTATGTAGATAGTTAAAGAATATTTTAAATATTTATATATAATGAATTTTTCTTTTTTGTATCTTATTCTATTATTATTATTATTATTATTCCACGTTATCTTCGATGAGGAATAATATATATATATATATATGAACATCAAGATTAGTCTTGTTTTTTAAATTTCTTTTTTTTCTATGTGGAAAATTTCATTGTTGATAATATCTATCATTAAATTATGATCATCAAAATGTGTACCTCATCCTAGGTGCCGTTACCTGGAGGTGCGCTATCATCGTCCGGAAGAAATACACAAAGGCCGTCTGATTGAGAGTCGTGTTGAAAATATCATCGTTTTCCTGCCAGATATTGCTGCTGCCTGCATGCCATCAAGCCTCGAATGGGAAGAAACAATATCAATGTACAAACAAGCATGTGATGAAGAAATTGCTGAAGAACTCAATGAAGACAACATACCCGTACATATATATTCGTTGATCTCTTTTCTTTTCCTTCTTTATTCTTTCTTGCGTTCAAGACAACAATTTCAAATTCTATATCTATCTTTCTGCCCTTTTCCTTTTTTTTTCAAATTTATTTTATATTTTGAATAAAGCATGTTTTTTTTCTATCGTATTTTAGGATCATGATATTGAAACACGTAGTGCATCTCATCATTCATCTATTGAGATTGAAAATCTTCGTGTATAATTTTGTTTTTTTTTTTTCGATTTTACTTTTTTTTTCTATTTGTTGACATTTGTAGGTTATTGATCTTAAAGCAGAATTAAAAGCACGTGGACAACATGTTACTGGTTTAAAAAGCGACTTAAAAAAACGTTTAGCAAAAAATATTCAACAAGAAAGAGTAAGAATTTTAAAATGTTGGTAATTCGAAATTATTTTTTAGACATGGTTGGATAGAGCTACCTCGAAAAAGTATTGCTTTTAACATATTCAAACGATACTTTTTATAATGTATAAAAATGAGAAAATCAATTTTGACCATCAGAACTTAATCTCTGAAAGAAACAAACAGCATATTTAAATCAGCATCGAATGCTAAACTCAATATTTAAAACTGAATTTCGACTAGATGAGGAAACCTCCTCAAATGTACCCTTTCAATTTCAATGATTCTTTGTCTATGAATACTACATAGTATTCTAATAAAAACTCGAAACGGATTTGCATTCCTATTGAGATTTTCCTAATGAGAAAGTCTCTCCAGGTGTCAAATTGTTTTTGCGACTGAGATAATTCAGCCGAAAAAGCGAATTTTGAATTTCCACTTGAAACTTTGCATGTCCAAAGGTCTCAATAGAATTTTGAATATTGTATATCTCAGGATAGGAAGTAACTAGAGGAGACCACAGCTTTTGATTGAACAATACAGTAAAATTTCGCTGTGTTAACATAGAAGACTCAGAAAATCAAAGCATTTTAGAATTTTCTATTGTTCGTCAAATAAACATCGTCTCGATCAAAAGCACTTTGACATCTGGAGAGACTCCAGAGTTTTGAAAAACTCATATTTTTAAATTTTGACGTGAACCATTGCGCATATAAAGAACTCAACTGAACTGATGTCCATAAAAAAATTTCCGAAGTTTTGAATGCTTTATATTTTGGATAAACTTTGTTGAAAAACTTTGAATTTTTTACGGAAGCTAGTCTAGTTAAGTTCTCTATATGCGCACAGTTTCTAATTAAAATTCAATAGATTAGTTAAATGTTAATAGAAGCCGAAATTCTTTTAGACCTTTTTATTAAAACGATATGTAGTATCTATAGGAAAAAAATCATTGAAACCAGAAGCGGACATCTGCGCAAATTCAAGTTATTATATTTAAAGACTTTGAATATAAGTCCATATTTATGCCATTTTTCTATCAATTCGAAATACACGACTTTCTCAACAATATTATGAAGTACGATCTAAAACAAGTGTTGACATATTGGAATAAATATTTTAGATCTTCCACAGGCTCTGACAGACATGGCGATGAAAACATAACAGACGTTGCTAATATACGATGATAGGCCATATATCAATCATATCTCGTTATAATGTATATGAACAACTTTTTTATTTCTTTCGAAAATTAAATAAAACGATGATAAAGAAATATATTCGGAAAAAAAATAGAATAAAAATAATTTCTCTGTAAATAACAGCATCAGAAACATCCTATTTGTCATTTTAATCTCACATGGATTGTGACAGAAGCTTTTTAAGTTAATTTTACTACAAAAGTATCGTATGAACACATCAAAAGCATCATTTTTTAATGTAACTCTATACAAACATGAAATAAAAGGCTTCGTTTAAGTATCAAATTACTAGCACGTTAATTTAATTCATTTATCACAATAATTAATTCTATATTTTATTTAGATTGATGAAGAAAAACCGGAATCATCTGCTGATAATAATGATGAACAACAATCTTCAACAACTCCAACTGAAACTGGATCAAATACAACTAAAATTGAAACAAAAGAACATACACAAGCTGATATTGATAAACTACGTAAAGAAATTGAAGCCAAATATCAACTTCCATCACATCGCACAATACTTGTTCATCCAACAATAGCTAAAGGAGATAAATTTGATTGTCGTATTGTATCTCTTCATTATTTGCTTAATTATGCAAATAAAGACACAATCAAAGAAAAATGCTTCGAAGTAATAAATAATATAAATTTAGAAAAAAAAAAAGTTTTCACTTAAATGAAATTTTTTCTTTATTTTAGTTATATCTTTTCTCTGAAGCTTTTAATGAAATGCTTATGCGTGATTATTCTTATCATATTTATCGATCATTATATAGTTGTTTAGAAGTAAAAGATACAAATATTGAAACTGAAACAACAACTACTGAACATAAGGATGATCAACAAGAACAAAATGAAACAAAAATTGATAATAAAGAAGAACAAATTGAATCAATGATAACAAGTAATGATGATGTTATTCTTCCTGGTCTTGATTTAAATACAGAAGAAAATGAGAAAAAACGTAAACGATCCACAAGTGAAGTAAATAAAATTCTTTTTCTTTTTGTTCTAAAAGAGAAAATTGTTTATATTCTACAATTTATTATGTATTTAGGAAGATTCATCATCTCAACGAAAAAAATCAACACAAGAAGAAACAATGGAAAAAAGTCCAAATGATGAACAGAAATCAACATTAACTATTGCACAAACTCGTCAACGTACAATTCATCCTGAATTATTACTTGCATTTACATTTTTTGATCGTAATCGTTGTAGTTATTTAACTGAAAAAGATCTTGAAGAAATTCTTTTACTATCAGGTTTATCATTAACAAAAAATGAAGTAACACTTAATAAAACAATTAAACTTTATTTTTTAATTATAAATTTTTTTTTTTAAGGCTAAAATGTTAGTTAGTCGTATAGCTCATAATGAAAAAGTTCCATATCACCAATTAACTGACAAAGCTTTGCCAATTGATGATTATGATAACGCAAATCATATTGAAACAAATGAAACTGATATTGATCCACTTTCACCAAAAGGTAAACTAATTAGAAAAATCTTATCAATACAGGTGCTTTAGATCAAAAATTGAGAACGCACATGTGTTCTTTATAGATAATGGCAAGATGGACCCAGGCCCTGGGCTAAGTCTCTTGACCGCGATCATAACCAAATTTCTTTTTTTTTTCTAATCGAAAAGAAAAACAGCTGATTCTCCCGTATATTTATTTCTTTAGCTTTATTATACTAATGAAAATTACAGCCAGTAAGAAATCTCTAATAGACTATAGTTATTTTCCAATGATAAACGATCTGTTTTATTTGTTTCTGCATGGCGAAAAGAATTTTCTTACTGACGCTCTAGTTTTTTAGTTTGTCTTGTTGCTAGTTATTTTTTTTAATGCAAAATCATGATTATTCTAATCATTGATTTGTTTGATACATACTTTTTTTTTGTACACATATGTTATTACGCATTTAGATAAAGCGAGAAATACTGATATTGATGAACCTGGAAGTTATAACTTGATTTGTTCATGTTTTCTATATTGATCATATGATGAGGTATGATAAATCCATACATTACTACTCATGATCCTTGACGTCTTGAATATGGTTGTTTATCTCTGCAGTGCTATTTAGGATTATCGCAAAAGTATTGCAGCCATGTAAATTTCAAGAAAATCTTTGGAATGTTCTTATCTTGTTTATAATTCCGTACGGTATCTTTGTTGATTGCTAAGGAACTATGGGGAAAAATTCTTATGTGTGCTCTTTTTGGTTGTTAGGGAGAAACGTATTCATTGACCTCTGAACATCCTCGTTGCTAACACTTAAAATATAATAGGTGGAGCCGGAAGACTTCGACTTAAAATTTACACAAATTATTTTCCTTGAAAAAATATGTGTGAGGTTGAACAAATTGAATTTTTCTTTTAATAGGTAACTTACTTCTTTTACCACAACATATGTCTATATTTGGTTTGCGTTCATCAATAACAAATAATGGAAATCAATTAATAACATCAGTTGATAATCAACGAGCAATGAAACAATTAGAAATGTCGAATAAAATTCAAACAGGACTTGAATTAAAAATTGATACATTAAAAAAAGAAATTCGTAAGTTGAAATAAAATTTCTATTGACTTATTATTCAAAAAATTTCTATGAAATATTAATCATTTATAATCTAAGTATATCAAAAGCAAAATATTTTAATTCCAAAAAAAGAAAATAATTCAAACTTTAATTTTATCCAAATTACTTACAGAGTGTTCTCGTCAAATGTGCAAACAAAATTTCTTTTGTCAGTCTCTGTTTTAAATTTAATAAATTTTAATTTAGATAAATTAACTGATGAATTACATGCAACACAAAAAAGTAGTCGTTCTTATAGTGATCAATTAACCGATACAAAAAAACGTCTACGAGACACTCAACATGATCTTAAAGAACTTGAAGATAAATATAAACGTTATTCCGATGCACTTTATCGTGTTCGAAGTGAATCTCGTTCAACATTTGATCATTTAACACATGTACTTGGCATTAAAGAAAAACAACCATCACAAACACGAAAATCCGAAGATGATACTAAGAAAAATACTGGAATGAAAACAGAAGCAAAATCATCGAATGAATTAGATAAAACTAAACAAACAGAAAAACCTATTGACCAAGAATCAATAACTAAAGTTGAAGGTAAAAATTCTTATATGGGTAGAATTAGTGAAAACAGGACATGACTAAAGTTCATTGGTTTCAAAAAACTGGAACTCAGAACCAAACCGGAATTGTTAAATTATTAGATAGGAAAATGTTAAATCTATTTTGTTCCCATGAATGTGTGGAAATGCAATGACCCTCCCAGCTTACACTCAATCAGTTTAATAATTAATAATTAAGCTTAATTAGTTAAATAGTATTAAATTAACGAATGTATCTCTCTAAACTTATGATGGGGAAGTCCAAGGATTTGAGAATAGATTCCACACCACTCAGAACTACATCTAAAGTCAATTTTTCAGGAAGATCGGAATCTGAAAAAACTCCTTCCCAAAACCGATTTTCCAAAGATCTTATCATGTCTCAGAACGAAACTTTTTGTTTAACTATTATCTCGAGGCCCTTAATAAAGATTTATTTCATTCATAATTGGGTTTTGCACTTCTCATTCAGTTACAAGAAGATATTTTGTTGGTACATTCTTATTCAGTCACGTCGCTAATAATGAATAATCCCTATCTTTTGACAAACTTAAGCATGTTTAGAAAAAACTTTACGTATAGATTTTATAACTTGAAGAGTCCTTGACAAAACACACTCTCTAGTTTTCAATTGCAGCGTGTGTAAATCAGTGTTGGACATGGGTCAAATTTTTGTGACCTGACTCGTCCATTTTTTGGTTCGAATCGACTCGAGATCACCGATGTCTTTGTGACCTGACCCAGTTTGACGCAGCTTAACCCGACTTGAGTCGTACACTGGTATAAACGGAAATGCGCACAGTGAAAGCCTTTATTCTGTTTTATATCACGTTGCTAACGCTAGTTTGTTCAATAATAAGTTAGCAGAACAAAGACCCATAGGACTGAATTTTTCAGCGCATCTAGAACAATGGCAGAATCAGGGAGCTCAGCCCCCTGTCATCGACTTTTGAGTCCTCCCTAGCCTAAAGTTCTGGCTCCGCCACTGATCTAGAGTTACTGAAATGTACATCTATTTCATAAAAATTAACCAAAAGGAATTTCTGAGTCCTGAGATATGTACATTTTTATTTTGGAAAATCACGTTGCTAACCAAAAAAAAATTGTCCATATTATAAACAAATTTTATTTACAATTTTATACATAAAATGTTTTCTTTTTTTAGAAAATCTTCCAATTGAAACCAATGATACTGAACAATAAATACTGACCTTTGATTTTTGTCATAATAAGAGTTGTATTTCATGTTTTGTTTTTCTTTTCTCTTGATTATAACTAATTGATTGATATATCTTTGTTTTGTGTAAACATTCAGTTGTTTTTATTTGAGAGAACGAATATATGTACACGTGTGTTTAGTGTCATTGATTGATTGATTGTTTATTCATCTTTCTTCTTGTGAAATGTGTTATTTGTCTATGTAAACGATAACAAAAAAAAAAAAAAAAAAAAAAAAAAAATCTCAGAAAAAATTATTATTAATTTTCAATGCTATATTTGTTCTTCTCTCAAACTTTAGACAACAAAAAAAAAGATTTTACTTTTAAATCATTTGAAGTGTTTTCTATAAATAAAAGAAAAATAATGTGGACAACAGGTACAACACATATGATTGCTCGTCTAACAGGTTCAACATTATTTGCTAAGTAAGAATATAAAAAAAAGAATTATTTTTTATGAATATGATATATTATTTTCAGTCATAATCTTATATCAGTTTTTGGATTTGATCATCGTTTAGCATTCACAACAAATGAAAAAACACCATCATCGGATCATGCTGCGGAAAGTTGGCATCTAGTAGCAAGATTACGTGATTTACGTGCTCGTACTCCGTATGCACTTTTTATTAAAGATAATTATAATGAAACAAGTAAAAAATATCCAGGTAAAATAATTATGAAAATAAGATAAAATATTACAGAATAATTTTAGGTTTAAAAATGATTGATATAACTAAAAAAATTTCTGAAGCATGGAGAAATTTACCTGATGATAAAAAACAAGTATGATTATAAGGAATTGAATATTTTGAAACGAGAGGAAGTTATAAGGTCATCAATTGGTCCATAGAACTTTTTCCACTGGAACATTTACTATCCTATATTAAGTGAAGAATCATGTTAAGATGAGAATTTTTTCATATTCATATAAAGAGAATGACAGAAAAAGATTTTTTGGTACTTCAACTAGTAGGCCGTATGGTCCTCTAACACTGCTATGAATATCATCTTTTTTTGCTTTAGTGCTTCTGATTTTATAGCCGAAATACGATCCTGCAAAATTAATCTTTAGCCATTGAGGAAAATTTAATACGAATTTTCGATCTCTTCAATAGTAACAACAAACATCGCTATTTCTTTATCACTGAGAGGTCTTAACGTTAGCTACAAAACCTATGAGTGAAACTTCAAATATCAATGGAGGAAGACATCTGAAAGAATTACATACAGTCATCAAAGCAACGATTCCGACTACAAATCAATAGTATTTCGAGTATTTATCATCTAATAGTACTTAAAATAAAAGATTCTAACACCAGAATCATGTTCAACACAGATAGCTCACTTGATCTATGTATGTTTGAAATTCGTATGATAACTTTCATTTTCGTTCAAAAATTTCACCCGGAGTTCCCCTTTGAGATTTGTCAAAAAATAAATTCGTCTAAAACATCATCTTCACCATAACAAAGCAAGTTGTCAGCCTTCAACATCAGGACTAAGCTCATAAGAAAATAATGCCTACATTAAAAAAACGAGATTTTCGATGAAACAATTTTTTGACATATCTTTGAGGGAGGCCCGAGTCGAGTTTTTCGATGAAAATAAAAGTTATCGCTCTAATTCGAAAGATACATAGATCCACTCAGTTTTTCATGATAAGCACGATTCTGATGTTGAATTCTTTGTTTTGAATATCATTGGACAACAATTACTAGAAATACTATTGATTTTTAGCCCCAATCGGCATTTTGATGATAGTATGTGCTTCTTTCAGGTGTCTACTCTCATTGATATTTGAACTTTTACTTATGGGTTCTATAGCAAACGTAAGAAGCTTTCAATGCTAAAAGAATAGTGATGTTTACTCTTGCTACTGAAGAGATTTCTCAATATGATCTTTCATTTGATATAAGATAGTAAGGATTCTAACGAAAAAAGTTCTATGGGTCGATTTACAATCTTATAACCTTCCATTCTTTGATTTTTTTTTTTTTAAGACTTACGTAAAATTATCACAAGATGAAAAAGCTATTTATGAAAAAGAAAGAAATCGTTTATCAGCGACTGATTTACAAAAATTGGATACCGATAAAAAGGCTAGAAGAATTGAGAATCGTGTTAAAAAAGTTTGTATTAATCAATGAATTCATCTATATAATATGTCAATTTATTTAGAGTATTCAACAATTACCAACTAAAAAACCACGTACAGCATTTGTTCATTTTATGTCATCACTTGATCGTGGCAATGCTGATTTGGGTGTATGAATTTTCGTGTTTTTAATGTAAAAATAAACATCTTATTATATTTAGGATTTTATGAAAGGAGTAGCTCAACGATGGTCACAAATGACTGTACAAGATAAACAAGTAAAGTTTTGTTTTTCTTATTTCCTATGTATATTTTAAAAATATTTGTAGCAATTTGAAGACCTTCATCAAGAAGAAAAACAACAATATACTAATGCTTTAGTTGCTTGGGCTTCATATAATGATGAAGCCTCAAAACCTAAAACTCGACGATCTTCATCATCGGCTTCTTCAAAACAAGGAGATGTTAGTATTGATTAAATTTTCTTGTTGAATAGAAACATTCATTACTTAGTTCGTATTTTCCTTAGCTTTATCAATGCACTTTTCTCATATATTGAAAAAGTTTTTGCTAAAAAGACCCTTAGAAGTCTTTGAGAGAAAGGAAAACAAAAAAGTTGAATTGAGATTCTTAATATCATCTGTTATTATATTAGAATGAAATAAAAAAAACATCATCAAGTCGCAAAAGAGTAGTGAAAAAGAAAACAACTGGTCTTTCAAAATCGCCTGTTGCCACTACAAAATCGATCGAAAAAAAATCAACTAAAGGAAAAAGTGATAAAGAAAAATTGTCATCTTCATCATCTGATGGTGAATCATTACCAATAATGAAAAAATCAGACAAAACAACCGATTCAAAGAAATCATAAATTGATAAACACTGAAGTTAATTTTATGTATATTCATTTTCTTTGTTCAGGTATCTTCTCATCTTTTTTTTTTCTTCGATTTTTTGATGTTCTTCATTTCTTTTGTACTGTCATTTGTTTTTTTTTGATTTGTATTCGCATGACACACTGTATTGTCGTGATGATTATGCTGATGATCATTGTCTTCTTTATTCCAAAAAAAAAAAAAAAAATACACACACACGTAGTAAGAAAAAGAAAAAGAAAATCTCTCGATACATAGATTATATTCAAGTAATTAAAGGCAATGCTTTTCGAAGTTCTGCAACATTTCTAAATTCAATTAGACCATTATCAAGGTATTGAATTTGATAATTGCCAAAACCTAAATTAAATGTCAAAGAATTAAATTTCATTTCGTTAATTTACCTTCATCTTTAATGATCTGTGCAATATCTTTATCATTAACGTAAACTTTATCATTAATATAAAATTGTGGTGATGAATGAAGTAATTTTTGATATTCTCTTTGTATCGTTGTTTGTGGTTTTGTAGTATGAAAAGTATTATTTGAATATGTTGTGAAATCATTAGAAGAAGAAGTTTGCCATGAAGATTTCAAAGTATTGTCTAAATAACGTGAACGATTAGCCCTAGCAGCTGTATTTTGTGGTCCATTTTGTGATTTAGTTGGTACTTTTGAAGATCTATTTGGTTCAACAAATGTTTGATTTTGTTCACTAATTTCTATTGATGATCTTCTAGAATCTTGATTTTGCTCACTAATATTTATTGTCGATTTTCTAGCATCTTTCAATCCTAGTATTAAAATAATGATGAAAAGTATTAGTAAAGCTAAAATGAATATAGCTCCAATAACAATATGAACAGCTAATGCTAAACGACAAGAAATAATTTTTTTTTATTAGTTGAAATGAAAAAGTCATACTTGTTACTTACATGAATTCAAAGCTTTAAGTAATAATTCACAGAGTACACCAAGAAAAGTACCAACAGTAAAAAGCAAAGCATCAGTAAAAGTAAGCAAGATTTTTTCGTTTCTTGATAATCTTTCATAATATTATAGAATAAAAATGAATGAATATTTTTATTTTTTACCTTTTACTAAAGATAGTAATTTGTATCGAAGAAGTTGAAATGATTTGATTTTTATTCTAAATTCAAAATAAACAAATCATCTAGATTTTTAAATGATCAAACCTGATATTCAAATATAAACGTTGTAATAATCAAAAGAATAATAATGGATAGAAGTAAACCCAAGCCAATACCAAATAATCCATAACCTATTAATTAATAATGAATATTATATATGTGACGGAGTTAGAGTCGGTCGAATTGGTCCCAGATGAGTCTACGTTCGACAATTTGAAACCTGCTGGACTCTAATTGTCTGAGAAATGTGCAGGATGCACTAGCCACCGAATACAGAAAGTTGGAAAAAGGTATTTTGTACTTTTAGGGTGACTGTCCAATTCCGATTAGAAAACTTCATTCAGAGTATTAAAGTACGGTTCGACCGAATCTGACGAACGCTAATTGGAGTTGACTTTAAAATGTTGAAGGATAAAAAAGTCATATACTAATCGAAACTAAATAATTTTCAATTCGTTAAAAGTTTTCTACGTGCAATTAACTAGAGTATGTGTCGAGGCTGAGAAGTCCTCTTCCAAGAGCTCGCGAGACTCTTATAGTGAACAGCTCACGAGGGAACGTTTCTAAGTGTCGAATCATTTTTTGAGCCGGGACTATGTTCCTCATGTAGGTTCTAATGTGTTATGAATACTCTGAAAAGAGTTCAGATTAATAGTTTACTGCTGTCGAAGTACTGTACTCTTAGCAGAATACCGTGTTCTTCTTCAAGAAAGCTGAATTTCGAATCAAAATTTTACACAGAGTCAGACCTTAACAACGATAGCTCATCATAAAAGTTGCAGATTTTTTGATTGCACCTATTCTCAAATAAGAAAATCAGAATCTGAAGTTGTATATGAACAGGGTGAAAAACATACTTTTATCATAGCTGTATCTTAGAAGAGAAGTAATCAAAAGATCTGAAACTTTTACAATAAACTATTCTCATTAAGCCCTGTCTTTGTACTAAGTTTCATGTCGAAATTAGAAATTCAGTTTTCGTAACGTTCTTGAAGGACATCACAGTATTGTACTAAAAATTACAGTGCGTCGATAGTAATAAGCTATTAGCTCGAGCTCTTTTCAGGGTATTTATAGCTCATTATAATATACATGATGAACATAGTTTGGACTGAAAAGCAAGTTGTGCACAATAAAAGTCTCAGGGGTGCTTGAAAGATAAAAAAAAAGTCAACTGACTCCATCTTAGTTAGTTTTTAAAAGCATTTTCGACATATATATAATTAAAAATAATAATAAACTAACTTTTAATATAAATTCCTGGTGCAACCCCACCAATAAAACCGAGAACAGCTACAATACCAGCTATTGCAAAAACAATCGCTGCGTTTCGTTCTAACATTTTTTATTCTATCTGTTTATGTTGCTATGAAAAGTATATTTTACAATCAGTTGACACTCGAAAACCACAGGTGTTCTATGTATCATGCTATGCATTATTGAAAGAAAAATATTTTTTTCTTTTTCGTTTTTCTATTGCAGTTATTTATTAATTCAACTGAATACTATTTGAATAGAACAAAAATAAAACCTATTGAAATAAAAGTAACATCAATAAATATAACTTTATTTATAATAATATTGTATTTAAAATTGTACTTTACAAAAATCATTGAATAGTATCTGAATTTTTACATTCAACAAAATCATCTAACATTTTTATATAGCTTTAAAGCAATTTTCATCAAAGCACTAGTATTTTTTTTTAAATTATTTACTCCGCAGTCGAATAATGCAAAACACTATCATAATAACATTACTCGTCAAATTAAATCAGTACATTGTTATCAAACTCTACACAATCTTTGTTTTGTGTTAAAAACCTATATCATATATTTAATTGAATTAGATAGAATCAAAAACAATAAAGGTGTCATAATGCATCTGTATAATATTATTAATAATAATCAAATAAGTTTATATCTGAAAGTCATGCGAGTGTGCCAGATTCTATCTTACGCCAACGCACTTCGCACGTTTATTTCTTTGTGTTTTGTACTCGGTGAATAAATTAAAAAAGAGCAAAATCATTTATTTGTTCAATGGTCTTTTAGCCTGCTTTGAATCATGAGATAATGCAACAGACGCTCCATAGAGATTCGCGTGATGTTGCATTAAGTTATGCAGAACAATTCCAAAAATCTTTGATCTATATACAATTAACTATTATATCACATAAGCTGAATAAACAAGAAATATATTGAATAAAAACTAAAATAAATCTATGTATTTTTATTGAATTTATTATTCAAAATAAACATTGTATATAATTACAATATCTACAAATATTATTCAATAGTAGAAAAATAAAATTTATATTTTACGAAATTCTTTTATTGTAATGATCGAATGATTTATTGATAGAAAAGACTATGTTAGTAATTCTATTTTTGTATTGACGGAAATCATTCAATCAAAATATAAAATCATGAAGTGTTCAAAACAAATGTATTGACGATGAATGAATATAATCGAAATTCTATTCCTATATTAAATTATAATCAACATAAATTATCAGAATTAAATAAATGAAAAAAATCGAATCTTATATTGTAATCTTGCAAACAATAATTTAGAATCAGTAATACTTTTATTAGAATATAAAAAGATCACTTATAATATAAATTAACTTGCGGTATTGATAAAAAAATATACGATCAACGCATTAAGATAACTAAGTACTTAACTGAAAGTCAAATAGTGATTTGAATAGCTAATGAAGATCTCTCTATCAAATGAATTTATTAATGAAGTTTCATCGATGAACTATGAGAGGAAGGCTTCTGGATAATCATATATAGTAGTTTTGTGGTCATAGAAGATTTTGTGAAAAATAGTATTTAAGAGTACTACATAATTTTGGATACGATTAGAGGTTATTACGTGCCCTACGGCCTTCCTTTAAAAAGTTAGAAGCTCTACAAAAAAAATTGGGTTTTGAGTAACTTATAACTTTCTAACGGAAGGTTGTAGGAAATACGGTAACCCCTCATCTTATTCAGAATTTTTTTCCGAAACTCTCCCCTCATGATCTCTATGAAATTTCGGTAATGATTGAATTTCGACAGAAAACTTCATTAGATATTCAAATTACAATTTGCCTTTGAGTTAAATACTTTGTATCATAGAAAAAAAAAACAAATAAAAAATACGTTAGTCTTATATTTTTGTATTAAAAAAGATAGAGACATATCTATTAATAAACTATGAAAGAGATTTTTATACGACATAAATAATTATTATTCATGTTTAATTATGTCAAACTATGATGAAGTACTCTGCAATTAATAGTTAATTATAGACATATTTTCACAATGTATATCTGTTTGTTTATGTCATTATTTAAGCCATAATTTAACAGGCACTGTTGCGTGAGTAGACGTTTTTTTTCTTTTTAAAAGTACCTTTAATTAGCTACATGCATTTTCAATTTTATACGGAGGTTCTGTTTTTTTAATGGGAGAAAAAGTATTATTTTTCTTTTTTTGTCACGGTCGGAAATTCCTGGTTACTTGCTAAACGGATATGCATTCTCTATGATTCCCAAATATCGCGTGAGGTAAACATTAATAAAAAATTATTTTTATCTATATTCTAAATTTAGATTGAAAAGATGAATGTCCTCGTAAAATTTGAAGATTTACTCTATAGGAAAAAACATATATATATAAAGAATTCATTAAATTTCTGTAAAATGATTTATTTTTTTTCTTTGTATTTGCATTTCTATGATACAATTCTTTTAAAAATAGTAGCTATAGATAGGAATAGACAAACAAACAAAATAAACAGAACAAAAAAAAAGATAATTAAAGAAAGTAAATAAGAATTCTTAGGAAAGAAAATGTTATATTTGTTCATAATCAATACATATTTATTGTTTTACCCGGGTTCGTTTTGATGGTGTACTACTAGAAGTCGGCGATGTAAGTGGAGAATTTGCATTCATTGTTGATGGTAAACATGTTCGTTGTTGATCAATACGACGTGATTGTAAACGATTAAGAAGTGAAAAGAAATCGTCATCTGGTAAAGTTTTAGATGTTGATTCATTCGATGAATCTTTAGATAGTGATTCTATTGTTGTTGTTGTTGTTGCTGATGATGCAGATGTTGGTCTTGTTGATGAATTATCATTAGATGTATTATGATTATGTATCGGTATAAGTACAGCACGTTGATCATCAAGACGAGAATCCTATGATAAGAAAATTAATTTCCTCTTTCCTTTTCATAAAGAAAAAAAAAACACAATGTATACACGAACTTGACATTTAGATAGTTGATCAAAAAATTGTTCATTCATTTGTGAAAGACTTTCATGCGTTGTTGAAGTATTATTATTATTATTATCATGATTAATTGTTGATGGAAGAGTTGTTCGTTGATCATTAAGACGAAATCGTTGTAAACGATCTACTGTATTTAATATATCTTCAAGTTGAGCACTTGGACCTATTTTAAGAGAAATTTTATTAATAAAATCTTTTCATAATTTTAAATCTTATATTTATTATAAGACAGTATATAGATTTTGTTAAGAATCCATGAAATTCGAAGTCAGTATGTAAACATTTTATAATTGACTACTCATTAGAGCTCATCCGGTTGATACCGGATCCAAAATTTAGGAACTTGAGCCCCTACGAGATTCGAAAATTTTGAATCCAAGTCCCCTGAATTGATTTCGGATACGAAAATTTTGGATTTGAGTCCATTTGATTGTTGCCGGATATGAAAATTTTGAACCTGAGCCGATCGGTGAGTCTTCGATGTGAAAATTTTGAATCCGATAGGTTCTAGTTGTATGAAAAATGTGTAGGGTACACTTGTCACTGAAAACAAAAAAAACCGGAAAAAAGTATCTCGCATTTTCCGGATGAGTATGCTAATCCGATTAGAAAATTTCATTAAGAGTATCAAAGTACAGTTCGAGCGGGTCAGAAAATACGACTTGAAGCGCTCTAATACTTATAAAATGATTTCCTGTTGTATTGTTTTCTCTAAATCTTTTCATTTCCGCTTAGATTTTGCATTTAAACAATAGAAAATAACTCTATAAATCCGATAATTATAAGAAAAGAATATTTTATAATCATTCGTATTGTTTAATAGGAAGAAATAATAAAAACAAAAGAGAAGATTTAATGCTTACGATGTCCACGTAATGCATTTGAAGTTTCATGAGTTGTTGTTTTAAAATCACAACGTTGATCTTCAAAACGTGATTTTTGCATACGACACACAAGTTCAACTAATTCATCATGATCAGCTGGTAAAGACTAAAAAAGTCATTATGTTTAAAACGTTTAGTCGTTTCATTGATATTGCTTTTTTACTTCTTTCCTTGGTGTTGTTGGTGATTTTTTTCCAAGATGATGCATTAAATTTGTTTTTAAACTATAAGAATTTAGTTTACTTTTTTTACTTTTATTTGACATGGATTTTTCATTTGTTGCAATATTATGTGAACCAGTATATGAACGTACATCATTTGTACTACTATTAACACTTGCATTTGAATGTGCTGAATGTGGACTATGAGATGAGGAAGCATTATTTGTACCAGCACCTTCCGATAGACTTATACTAATTGAATCAGTGCGTAAATTCTAAAAAAACAAACGAAAAAAAAAATAATAAAGAACTCAAAAGAAAAAACAAACTTTGAGCAAAGTATTTGTTGGTCCAGATCTTGTTGACATTGAAATCGTATCTTCTGTTGGTTCATCAATCTAAATTGAATATATAATTTTAAAAAAAAGAAAGAAAATTTAAAATGAATTCTTACTTCTCGTGCAAGAGCTTTATAGAGACTTTCATATTTTTTAGATTTATCAAGATGATTAATGTTTTCATTTAATTGACTTAAAACATAATAAGCACGACATTGGCCTATTGAATCTTCTAATTGTCGAGCTAAATTTAAATGTTTTTCATGAAAATAGATTGCTGTTTCATAATCATGTTTTAAAGAATAAACACGCCCAATTGTAAAATTCATACGTGCCATAAATGATTCATCATTCATTAATTCACCAATATTCATTGCTTCTCTTTATATTAAGAAAATTTAAAAAAAATGTCAATTCATGTTCTTTTTTTGAAATATTAAATTCAAATACCTATAATGATTAAGAGCTTTATCGAAATCTTCTAAATATAAATAAGCATTGCCAAGATTGCCATGTGCACGACGTTGACCTGCTCGATCATTACATTCTTTTGCAATAGCCAAACGCTATTTAAAAACAAAAACAAAATAAATTATCCAATGAAATATATATATTCATGAATTGTTTCATACTTTATCAAGATACTCAATCGATGTTGAGTAATCTTGTAATAAATAATTGACATTGCCAATATTACCTAATGTTCTTCCTTCCGCCACTTTGTCGTTTAATTCTTTGTTAAGATCAAGATTTTGTCTATCCAAAAATAAACAAAAATTAATAACAATCTCCTTTGTTTTTGACCTACACTTATATGAAAATACGGGTGACAAGCAAAAGAAAAACAATATATTGATAGTAGAATAAGAGCTAGAATATACGGAACGACTAAAAAAATGAGATATGTTTTATCTGTTGTATTACAATACATATGCGCAATAAACAGACACATACAACCACTAACATCCATCATACAATTATGCGAATAGAACACGACAATTGTTTGACATGTTCTATCTAAGGAAAAGAACAGAGTAATGAAACGAAGGCCTAGATAATACCGTTCTTCCACGAATGAACATTATCGTCATTTTGTATGCGCTCGTTAAATTGAGTGATGAAGTAGCAACCAATCATGAGTGATAAGAAAGTGAACGAAGTGAACAATGATGTCTTTTTTTTATGGGTGCATCGAGCTATTTTCTCCCAATGGAATGTGTAAAAGTTTCTAAACTCTTTATTGACGTTATAGTTGCGTGAGACACTTTTAGATTGAAGACAATCATGAGTATTGATGCCCGCAACAACAAAAAAAAACGACTCACTCGTTTTGTAATACGTGGTCTTTGTATACATAGATCTCTTATTTTCTATAAATAGCATTACTCGTAAGTGTATTCATTTTCTCTAGCCTGCCTGCTCTCTGTCTCTCATCGCCTCTCTGTTCTGACACTTATACAAAGAAGCAATCAGCTACTCTCGTCGTTGTCGCCTTCTAGAAATCACTTGATTGCCCAAAAGTCATATTCGATTGTGCTAGCAACAATCAAAAACTTTTTTTTTCGATGAACAATTAATAAAAAAAAAGAAAAAAGAACGAGAAAAGAAAAACGAAGTGCTTTATTCCTGCCTCTTATGATAATAAATTCGACTTACATGAGATCTTATGCTTATAGTTGTTCGTATTTAAGATTAAGAAACGGTTGTTTTACACATTTAGGAATATCTAATAAAAATCAGCTCTATCCTATTCACACGTAGTCTCTTTAGGACAGAGAAAGAGTCTAAATATAACAAGGATTGACAAAAAAACTAAGAGAAAGAACTCTTACTCGTTCTCGTTATTCTTCTGTTCAAACTAATTAGATTCCTGGAAGAGAAATCTAGTGAGTGTTGAGTGCATGTCCGACCGAAAAAATACGGAATAACATGAACGATATAGAATTCTTTTCTTTCTGTTAAGCATTTCTTTTTTTTCTCATTTATTATTGTCATCTCAACAAGTATTCAATCGAATAGGTGAACGAGAAGTTCCCTCGAGGCTATTCATAAAAGGTAATTTATATGTATAATTTAGTCTTTTGTTTTAAAATAAGTTTCATTATAGAAAATTTCGAACGAATTAAATTTTTATTTGTTGTTTACATTTATCTAATGAATAAAATAGATCATATTACTTATATGATCAAGTTCTTTTAGAAAATAGCCGACAACAAATATAGAATTCAATAATTCATGATAATGTTCCATGCAGTCACTCGCTTGAATTCTCATCACTCATCAAATACAACAGACAAACAGATTAACAAAAAATAAAAATAAAAATAAAAGAAGAATACTTTTTGTCTCTCGCGACGGTTTTCTATAAAAACATAGTGTACGATACACATGTGTATTTTATGTATATAACCCAAAGAGATTAAACCGAGCACGCACGATGCTCATCATTCGATATTAAATTAAATTCATCTCATATACAGGCGCATAATTATCATTTCTATAGTATATGCCTATGTGAATTTTCACGCCTACTCTTCGATCGTTCTTCAACTATTAATATTTCGAAGAAGAAAAAAAGAAGGAACTAAGATCAATACGTTCAATAATCCGATTTTTATCTTGTTGTAGTAAAAGGATCTGAAACTTAACCGTATCACTATAAAATAGATTGTTCAAGTCTGTAATGTATATACCTTTGTTATCTCATGCATACAGAAATAAAGTAATCAAAATAGCAATATGATGGCCTTCGTTTTTCCTATTTATTCCTTCTCTGCCTATTTTTTTTCTATTCATATCGGCTCTCCCTTTTTTTTTGTTCAACTAACCTCTCAAATAGATAGTTTCGGAGAGAGAGAGAGAGAGAGAGAGAGAGAAAGCAAGAAAGCGTGCCTGAAAAAAAAACAAAAAGTAGACTGAGCAAGTCTAACATATGAGCAACTCAAGAAAAGAAAAGAAAGTAAGCGAGAATGAATGTAATGCACGCGGAAAATCTAACTGCATAAGAATGAGAGACAAACAGAAAACTGAAGAAAAGCGTATGCGACTATTCATCTATCTATCGTCATCATTATATCAATGGGTAAATGAGAGAAAAAAAGAAAAAGATGAAATGTCTTTTTTCTGATAATGGAAGAAAAAATTAGGCCAGAATAAATAACTATAGATTCATTAACTATCAACATACACACAGTAAAAGATCAGAAAAATAAGATACTGAAAGAGAATTAGATTTTTCTTTTCATTATATATCAACTTACTCATAATAAACAATAGATTTATTAAGTAATGTTCGAATATTATCATTAAGCAAACCACCTGTTGAACAAAGTAATTCTTTTGCTTTTAAATGATATGTCAAACCCAAATAATAAAGTGCACGTGATTGATCTGATGAATCAAGAAATATCGGTTGTTGTTGATTATGATGATGTTCTTGTTCTTGTTCTTGTTGTTTTGTATTCGGTCGATTTTCCTTTTTCGAACCATCAGGATATTTACGAGCAAATCTTTTATGCAATGTAGACATAATAAATATAATATATTATCCTAATTTTCAGAACAATGATTTATGGTACATATACAATAAAGAATATTTTGTGTTTTTTTTTATGGTTTCGTTCCAATGATCAATTGTGCTTTGTTCAATTTAAATGTATAATAACCAATCGTTAGATAAGATGATGTACTCCATCTACAATACAATTTGTTAGGTAGAGTTTAGATAGAGAGAAAATGAAAATTTTGTTCGGCAATTTACAAGTATAAAACTACGTCTTTCTCTTTCTTGTTTTTACACTACTAATCTTGTTAATTATTCAAATTTTTATTCTAAAAATAAACTTTTATTTAATAGTGTTTTTATCCAAATTCAGCAGTTCTTAAGATCAATCAATGGAAACAACGATATTTTCCACTTGACACACATTACTATGAAAAACAATATAAGTATACGAATTCGCTATATGAGATTATTTCCCTATGCTTTCTATAAGTTTTTATTGTATATAAATTACTAAATACGAAAAGACATGTGCTGTAGTTCTAGAACATTGAATATGTTTGGGTCAAATCGAAGGTCTTACTGACATACTAATCAAATTATAATAATGATAATCTTTTTCTGACGTGCATAATTTGACATATTCGCATTTTTACAGGACTTATAGATGTGTATCGAATGAATGAATAATTCAAAACTTCATCAGCTGGATTTCTTTTGTCTCTACGCTTGAATAAAGTTTGTCGAGTTATATAAGAAAAACTATTCTAATGTAAATCGATGAACGTTATTCAACCATAACAAAAAAGTTCTGGTAAAATTCGAATATTTCAGATACGTACACATCATATTAGCAGGTCATATTTTTAATTTATTAATTTGCATGCAAGACTTATAATTTGACTCGAATATGTTCAATATTCTGAGTTCAAATACACATCGTTCACAAGCTTAATCTGCATTATCTATAAAAAAAATAAATAAAAATTTGATCTTAAAATATAATAAATATGGGAAAGTTTGATTATTCGTCATAGTTGATCTAGGTATGGAATAAATTACTATCATGAAATAAATCGATCAATCAATTGATATTTTTTTATGAGTAAAAACGATTTTTAATCAATCATAGCAAAAAAATATTTTTCATATAATAAAACAGTCACGAAAAGATCATTGTCTAGTTTTAAATTTTAGTTCAAGTAAATCAATACATTAGTTTAGTAGAATGAGCAATCAATCTATTAGTCTAGTACAACATTGTCATTGTCAAACTTCAATTATCTCCGTACGAGTTCAAAGCACAGTTCTCACATGTTCAAACAAATCTATTTCGACATTTTTCAGTTCATTTCGAACCTCATCAAAATGAATTCAGGACTCATCTTTAAAACATTATTTTTTTTCTAATTTAATCAGAAATTCAATATCAAACAAGTTAATTTTCATCGCTAATCTAAAACATTAACTGTTCATTATCTCAAAAATAGTGATGTACCCAATCAAACAAAAATGCTCTAATAACGGTTTCTCTTTGATCATTATCATACCGATTCAGAAAACAAAAATACCAACTACTTTTATGATAAAAGGTGCACGAACTCGCTTACAAAACTCACTATTCCATCTGGAAAACATCCAAAATGTTTGTTTTCATCCTATTTTTGGCATACACCACGCAAGAAAAACATTTTTATCTGCAAAGTACGTCAAAACGTTGCACGTTTTCCAGATACAATACTTTCTTTTTTAAGCACTTTGACATACTTTTTTTATTGATAAAATTAGTTGATTTCTGGGACAAATGTAAAAACATTCGAACGAAAATTGTGATTAAAATATTGAAATGCATTTTCGACAATTGTCTATTCTCATTTATTTTGTTTTTTTTTCGAAATATCTTTAAGTACCTAGAACATTAAAAAAATAATGTATTCTTTCCGTAAGATAACCAATTCCGTTTCCTATTCCGCTTTGACAAAATAATAGGTTTTACTTTTTCCTTATTGACTTTGTAAAAAGAATGATAAATGGTTAATTATTCTGCCCCAGCTAATTCAGTTTTTATTATAATTTGATTATTCTGTTTTTCTTTCTTTTCTCTTGGAAAAAATTACATAAATATATTTTTTTTTTCAATTGATTAATAGCGTATAAGATGTATTTATTAATTCTTTTTTAGATAGTCTATACATGCTCTTCAAGAGCAAAATTCACATAGAGACATAAAAAAGAAAGAAGAAAAAGAAAACGTGATATTAGACGAGACAAAATAAAGATGAATTGAATTGATAATATATTATCAGAAGATCAATCTAAATATACATATGCACAGAGAAAATTATTTTTCGATATAAAATAAAATTTTTTTCTTTTTTGTGTCACTAACATTCTTTTATTGAATGCATAAATCTCGACGGTGATTGAGGAAAATTACGTTCACTTGTAAATGAATCTTGTCGAGATGGTACACTTAATCGTTTCATTGTATTAAAATTATTATTATCTTTATCATTTATATGTAATAATGAACTATTGGATGTTAACATTTTTTTTAAACGATTTTTTGATGATATTGGACTAAAGGAAAATGTTCGGCTAAGTCGACTTTTTGCTTTATATAAACTACTAAAAGAATATAAAAACAAAATTAATCAATCAGTAAAATAAACAATATCTTAGAAAGAATCAACATCGGACAATTTTCATTGAATAGACTCATGTAGTTTGTATGAAAAACAAAAAAAAATGCATTCGATTATCTATGAAAGAGTATGAATTGAAGATTAACACATAGCGAAAATAAAATATTTGGTTAGTTATGCTTAAGAAATAACTCTCAACCTTCAACTCTTTCCTATTTCAAAGAAAAATTTGAGGCATATATGAGCATGCTAGGTAATAGAGGTTCAAATACTTCTTAATTAAGAGGATTGTTCGAGGCACTGCTTTCAGATTTTTATGACAACTTATCAGGAAACCCCTCTAAGTGTCAAATAGCTTGTCGATTGAGGCCATATTAATTTGATGAGTGATAGAAAAATCTACAATGGTTTAGTTTTCCAAGCCATTGTCCTTTCGGATATCGAAACTTTAATGGTTTTTTCAGGTGCTTAGATCACGTGAAAAATTGATTTCAATTTCTAACTCTTTATGAACGAAATTCTTAATGAGATTACTTGATTGTGCAACTAGTGCTTTCTTTCTTAAGATCCAAATATATCAACAAACTTTGCTTTTACATATGACAGAATTTCGAATATATCAGTATAAGAGATATTAGAAAAGTTACAACTTGTCCAATGAACTAATCTCATTGCAAATTTTGAAGTCAAAACTCTCTTAAGAACAACACAATCTTTTGAATTGAAATTTTCTACTTCGATATTTTTGCCAATACCTTGTCAGAGATAATATTGTAATAACTTGAGAAGGATAGTGCATGAGAATGAGCCTCCTTGTAGACTTCTACCAATCTCGTCGGAGTATATGTATGATTAAATTATCAGTTCGATTGGTAAGTCATACTTGGAAAGCTTTCCTCATAAGTTGTAAAACAAATTCTGAGTGCAGCATCTCAAACCATGGTTTTAATTTGATATAATTCATGAAGAATTCTATGAATCCTTTTAATCCTACATATTCAAAGATGGTTAATTTTCTTTCAAAAATTTATAATATTAATATCCAATCCATAATCTCATATCAAAAATGGAATGGAGTAGTTTTTCATATAAATTAATAAGTCTATACAATGAAAATTAATAAAATTATGGAGAAAATTGTCTGATGTTTGTTCTCTATATATGGAATAGTTTTTATTTATTTATATACCTTCTCAATGCACTACCAACTGAATTTAATCCACTACTCGTTGTTGCACTCATTGTTGAATGAGTTGATAATGTATCATTATCACTCATAAAATCCATTGATGAAAGTGGTGTAAATGCTCCATTTTCTGGTCCAACATTTTCAATAAGTGATGTCTAAATAAATATAAATGATTTAACGGATGATCCAAAAGCTTTTAGACAAGAAATAGTATGTTCGAAAATATTTTCAACCAGATGAAAGTTATGATTTTGTGCTCTGTTCGAATATGGACTTAGAAATTTTTCCAAAAAGTGGTGAAATTATTTTAAAAATTAGTTTCAATGACTTTATAAAAAAAAATTCAGAAGTTTTCAACAATGCTTCTTTGACATACAAGACTTGCAAGATGTTGAACGCTTTGCATAGACAATTTATACATCTATTTTTAAGAAGCTTCATTCAAAACTTGTGCATTTTTGTACACAAGTTATTCTAGTTGAGTTCTTTATATGCACTAAATTTCAAATCAGAATTCGATACTTTAGTCAAACGTCAATAAGAATCAAAAGTCTTTTCGAGTGTTTATTAGAACAGTATCTAATATCTATAGACAACGACAAAGTTTAGCATGGTAAGAAAATTACTTATAGAGGGTAAACAAAAATCTGATGGCTCATACTGAAACATATTTTTTCAAAAAGTTCTTTACTACTGTTGAATAAAACTAGACACAACATTTCTAATCCTATATTTAAACTCAAGTCGCGATCTATAGTTTTTCGTGCCTGTGAAATACTTTCAAGCAAGCCAAAATGGACAAACATATCCAACGAAAACGTCAATCAAACTTCCGTTTAAACGAAATCTGAAATAAAGCTTGACAGTCGTCATTCTAAGTCTAAATTCGAAAAGAGCACAAAATCATAGCTTTCGACGGGTCGAAAATACATGAAAATATTTTGTCTAAAAATTGTCCGATCAATTGTTATGTATTTACTTTATCAAGAAGACATCGTTCTTCAGCAATGGCTTTAGCTAAATGATGTAAAACTTCTGTTTTACTTGTTTGATTTAAACTCGATACAGTTGATAAAGATGTTAATGATGTCATTGAATCGGTTAAATGTGAACGTGATATTGACATATTATTATTATCAGCAACACGAAATATTAGTTGACGTGCTTGACCATCAATTGAACAAAGCATACCG